ATTTAGATTATTTGTTCTATTTTAACATAATTTATGTAACTTATTTTTTTTTTTTTTGTGATTAGCAAATTATTTAATCAGCTATATCCTAGCTATTATTCGGTAAATTATTGTCTACACGATAAACTGCATATCTGGTATGTTAGCTGTATATTCAGTATGTGTTGTAAATTCTGGTATTCATTCACGAATATTTTCTCTAAGAAACTTAAAACGGATTTGAAGAAAAAAAATTAGTTCTTATATTGTTGATTCCAGAAACTAATTTTTGTTTGATTTTCAGAAATGGCAACCGAATCAACCAATATGGACATAACCCAAACTGTGGCTACTAAAAATCAGGGTATGGGTTATACTGTAGCTCAATGGCTAAGTTTTATTATGCCTCAAGAGCCAAATACTAATGTGGCTAAATTGCCCAGCTATACTATGAGCCAGATTGTGGCTGAACCAACTAGCTATGTCGTTACTGTTCCAGTGAATCATGGAGAAAAATCAAAAAAATTCAATGGAATAAATTTCAAAGGTGGCAACAGAAAATGTTGTTATATCTGACCACCTTGAATCTTGCGAGTTTTTTGACAGAATATGCTCCAAACCTCAAAGATGGTGAGAAAGATGTTCAAGCTGTCAGCGCACTGGAAGTGTAGAAACATTTGGACTTTCTATGCCAAAATTAAATTATGAACGGCATATCAGATTCGTTATATAACGTGTATAGTACTTTGAAAACTGTTAAGGAGTTGTGGGAGTCATTGAATCGGAAATATAAGACTGAGGATGCTGGGACCAAGAAATTCATTGTTCGTCGATTCTTAGATTATAAGATGGTGGACTCCAAAACAGTAATCAATCACGTGCAAGAACTCCAAGTGATTCTTCACGAGATTCATGCCAAATGGATGATTTTGTGTGAAACTTTCCAAGTGGATGCAATTATTGAAAAATTGCCCCCCGCGTGGAAACATTTCAAGAATTATCTTAAGCACACGCAAAAGGAAATGAACGTCGAAGAACTAATTGTTAGACTTCGAATGAAGAAGATAACAAGAGTTCCGAGAAAAAGTTGTTCAATTCTAGTGTTGCTAAAGCCAACTTTGTGGAGCATGGTCAAAGNTGGCTAAAGCCAATATTGTTGAGTACAATCAAAGTTCTAAGACCTTCAAGAACAAGTCTAGGATATCTAGTAGCAAATGTACTAAATTGGGACCGAAATGGGGCATTTCTAAGAAGAAATTTTAAGGAAAATGCATCAAATGTGACAAAGTAGGTCACAAGTCTTCGGAGTGCAGATTGCCAAAGAAGAATAATAGAAAAGAAGTAAATGTGGTTGACTACATTGCACATAATGTGTCAAAAATGAATCTCGTAGCTGTCATTTCTAAAGTAAACATGATAGATTCTAACCCAAAAGAGTGGTGGATTGACATCGGTGCTACGAGGCATGTGCTTTGATAAAGGGCTGTTTGCTACTTTCGAAGCAATTGAGAATGGAGAAAAGTTGTTCATAAAAAATTCAGCAACTTCTGAAATCAAGGGTCAAGGAAACGTGGTTTTGAAAATGACTTTGGGAAAAGAGCCGACTCTTAACAATGTGCTAGAAATCCACAGGAACTTAGTGTTCGGGTCGCTTTTGAATAAGCATGGTTTCGGTATTGTATTTAAGTTAGAAAAAGTTATTTTGTCAAAAAGTAGAATTTTTGTCGAAAAAGGTTATGTTTTTGATGATATGTTTAAATTTAATGTAATGGTTGTTAAGCAAAAAATGAATAAAGTAAACTCTTCCACTACTTGCTAGAGTCTTTCAACTTGTAGACTAGGACATGTTAACTATGGTACTTTTCATAGACTGGTTAACTTGAATTACGTATCCGCATTCCACATTGATTCCAACCATAAGTGCGAAACTTGTGTTGAGACAAAATTGACAAGGTTATCCTTTAAATCAATTGAATTCCACATGGCCACTTGATTTAATTCACAGCGACGTATGTGATTTGAAACTTGTACAAACAAGAGGAGGCAATAAGTATTTCATTACTTTTGTCGACGATAGCACAATATACAGTTATATGTATCTGCTTAAAAGTAAGGACGAAACTATAGAGAAATTTATTCTCTATAAGAATGAAGTTGAAAATCAACTCAATAAAAAATTAAGGTGCTGAAAAGTGATCGAGGTGGTGAGTATAAAGCATCATTTGTTGAATTCTGTGCACAATACGGAATCATACTACACCTTATTCACCGCAACAAACTAGTGTTGTTGAAAGGAAAAATCGTACCTTAAAAGAAATGATGAATGCAATATTAGTAAGTTCTGGATTACCTCAGAAATGTGGGAAGAAGCTATGTTATCAGGAAATTACCTTTTAAATAAAGTGTCCTGAAAGAAAATGGAAAAGACCACTTATGACTTATGGAAATGAAGAAAGTTTTCCTATAAATACTTACGAGTGTGGGGGTGTATTGCTAAAGTGGTCGTTCCAATGCCTAAAAAGGTAAAAATAGGCCCGAAAACTATAGATTGCATCTTCACTAGCTATGCACATAATAGTAGTGTTTATTGATTTCTTGTGTATGAATCTAAAATCCCATATATACACAAAAACACAATATTGGAATCAAGAAATGCTTCATTCTT